CAAACTATTTATTAATTTTATATTTTATTATAACTTAATAAACATACCGTGAGTTGTGATGAGTGCCGGCAAACTGTGATTGAGGACAGCCGAGGAAAAGGGCGGATAACATACCCATTACTGCAAACAATTCAACAATTGTTATGAGAGAAGTGAGAAGTCGGGGTCCGGGAAGAAATTTACGGATAAATACTCCGCCCAGGAATATACCCGTTGCCGTCGGGATTACACCTATTATTCCTGTAATTATTAATATAATAATTGAATTACATTGAATTGAATCTAGGTCATTATTTAGTAATCAATAAATTACCAGAAAATAGATTTGCAGTGGAGGCGGAGGTTTTGTATTCAGATTCAATATATTTCGATTTGAATGTGAGATAACCGAGAACTGCAAACAATCGGGTCGTCGTTCCCAATGTATAACAGATATAAATCGGATTTTTTAACAACCGTTTTGTTCGCTTCCAAATGCCTATTATTACATAATGTGTTATAAACTTTGGTATAACTAATATCACTCACTAATTTCTTGTATTTGACTATTAGTTGTTCTCATAAGTGGTTCACTATTTTTCTGACGTTTTTGCGTTTCTTTTGTATTAAAACTTTTAGGAAAGAAAAACATCGGAATTGAGAATATTAACATAGATGTGCCAATGATTAGAAATCCAATCCACCATGCTCCTATCCAACGGGGGTCTGTTCGCTCTATTCCCGGATCCACTAAATTTACATTATATAATAATATGTATATCGATATAAATTGTTTAAAAATAATTTTATTGTATACTTGACAAGTATTACTTGTATACGAAATGTAAACAATATTTGTATAATGAGTCGCTAATACTAACGAAATGGGTTTTCATAGAATGTTAAGACATATGACGAGAGAATAAAACCAGAGGTCGGACCACAAAGACGGAGAGCACCCGCCAGACCTATCAATTTAATTATAATTGTAATAAATAAATTCATTAATAAACATTCTATGTCCATTTTGATGTCAACATAATTGCATGTATTATTGTAAATTCAAATATTATAAAAAGGTATGTTTAATAATTACTGATCTGGAACAATTATTGATCATAATTATATTTAAGTATTTTTATCCTTTTATAATATATAAGGTTTATACAAAAACAATTGATTTATGAACTTTCAATATTACTTAAATATCAATTAAAGTAAAAGCTAATAACTGACCCAAATATACGGGAGAATTCTTTTTATTTACGGAATCGTCAATAAACGGGATGGCAATGGTATAGAAAGCAACGAAACCGATGCCATTCAATAAGCTTGATATCCATAGGATTACAACGGCTGGGATCACAGTTTCGGATCCACTGTTTTCTTTACACATATTATTCTCAAAATTGTTTTGATCACAAAATTCTGTGCTTTTATTGTGTTTCATAAGACTTCCGATTAAGTCCTTATTAGCGCTCAACAGATGAACTCCCGGTCCGTAAATAAGATATGGCAGAGCAGCTAAATAGCAACCAAATGCCACAATAACGTTACAAAAGCCTATCATTCGTGGTCTATGGACACGATTGGCCAGATATCCTAATACTGGACTCATTGTTAGTTCTGTCACATTATCGGCAATAAGTATAAGCCCTGCTATAGTGCTGCCAAATGCGTACCTTTTTTCCAAAGTGGTAACACTAGCGATCATATATGCAAAGGCCGCGCCCTGTGATACGGCCAGACCACTCAATATAACCATAAACACATTCGTCGAGTCAAATATCTGTAACCATTTTGGTCGCCCCGAACCCAAACCTGGTGTGCGTTCACTCGCATCTGAAACCGCAGTAGTTTTATTGGAAGTCATGATAGTATCGATGATTTCACTGATTGTTATACTTTATAACGAGAACTTTGTTTGGTTTAATATTTTTTGCTACAAGATTTCGATTAAATTATATGTCACATAAATTTATTATAATTGTGAATATTATATTTAACTTATTTAATATTGTTATTAGTCTAAATATCTATCTATTTAATTATTGTTTATGTTTTACCACGAGTGACTTTGATTATCACCAAGTGTATTTACAAAACTTCACAAGTTAAGTGTTTATTAAGTACTATTAATATAATGATTCTTGAATAACAATACTTATTATTTGACATTATATCACGATTTTGAAAACTTTGTGTGTAATAAATAACATATATTTATAAATCAATCAATTAGTTTCATATTTAGATAACATAATATGAAATTAATGTTTCAAATTTTTGAAAATAATCAGTACTTTTATATAAAAAGCTAAGTGTTATATAGAGATAATGATAATGTATAAACAATTTATAGATGTTTTAATTAACAAGTATTATACAAACAATATTTTATTGACAATATCGAACTGATATTATCAATTATGTTTATAATAATGTGATAACTTTCATTTCATAGTATTTTACTTGTATATTAATTTTATGTATGATTGATTGAATAAATAAATTAATAATCATGTGTTGATTTTTAAATTGAGAATTTCGATAATAAAACTAAAATGGTGTGAAAATCTAGATCATTTCCTAATAAAGTATTAGTTTATTTATATTGAATAATAAACACGATATGAATGGATAAAGAATTTATACTCTGTTATAACTACACTATATGATGGAAAACTTTAATAATAACTTTTATAATAACTCATTATAAAAGTTTTCCATCATATCGTGTATGTTATAACAGAGTGTAAATTCTTTATCCATTATTATTAATAAAACAATTCAAATAAAATGTATGCAAAAATTATAATTATAATTGTATCTAATTTGACGTAATTTTACTAAACCATTGATTCTGTCAATTCTAACCAACATAATAAGCTTGGTTATTTTTATAAATGTTTTGAAGCCTGTTATTTGTCTGGTACTGTATCTTTAATTCTTAATAATTTCAAAAATAAATGTCAGTTTAGCATGATCAAATAGAACAAAGCTAGTTATGCTATAGTTTACGTATTGGGACAAAACAAAGTATAATTGGACACTATAAAATTTCTTGTAATTAGATAAAAACAATCAAATTAAATATAAAACTAAATAAATGTATTATTAAATGTAAAATTAATTTTTATTAATCAAAACTACTAGCCAATGGTTTATTAACACCGGTTTTAAGTTTCATATCGTTGTTTTGTATTTCCAACTCTTGTTCGTCGATCTCATCGTTGTATAAATTTTTTATTCTCTTTGACAGAAATATAACGATTACATCAAAAAAGCTCCCAAAAAGATAGAGACCAAGAGTTAGTCCGTGAAGATTAAGTCTGAATTTGTTTGTATCATAAGCCCAACAGTTCCCGCTGTGGCCACACTTGGACTCCCATATCAAACACGTGGCGTCGACTACCGCTCCGTATACCAGAGGGTATGGTATGAATGCTGTTATTAAATCAAACGATTAAATCCAATCAATAAATTTCTAAATAGTTATTAGTATTGTAATATAAAACATACCAAAACAGCACAAGAATACTGTCATTAAGCCCAGGGCAAAACTTTTATCATCTTTATCTACTATTCTATAATTGAAAAATGTTTTATTATAATAATAATAAAGATTACACTAATAAAGTTCACTAATTACAAACCGCAATGAAATGATACTATTGCCAGTTTTGGCCAAATTGCCGATTATATTACATATTCCTAGAATTGTTATATAAATATGAAAATTATTTCCACAGTCTGTGGCACAATAGCCTTCATTTGCCGAACCATCAAAACAATTACAATCTGTATATTTCTGTTTTTAATTAATATATTTAGTCAAATTATGAATTTATCAGGAATATTTACAACTAACATTTTTTGTTGTATTAGTTGTTTGAGTCTTACAGCCGGCAAAACATGGAGAGAAGTAATTGGTTTTGTTGTCCGGACCACAAATCGGCTGGAATTTGGTTTCCGAACAAAAACAGTTGTCGTTACACATCGACTGCATCTCAAAACTAAAATTATTTTGTTAAATACGGTTAATTTTGTCAAATATTTATCACATGACTTACTGTGTGTTGTGTTGAGTGCCGGCAAACTGTGATTGAGGACAGCCGAGGAAAATAGCGGTTACAAAACCCGTGACCGCAAACAACTCAACAATTGTTATGAGAGAAGTGAGAAGTCGGGGTCCGGGAAGAAATTTACGGATGAATACTCCGCCCAGGAATATACCCGTTGCTATAGGAATCACACCTATTATTCCTGTTAATTTAAATGTAAATTAAATTAAAATTTATAATTTTTATAAAATACTACCAGAATTTTACCAGAAAATAGATTCGCTTTAGAGGCGGACGTCTTGTATTCAGATTCAATATATTTAGCTTTAAATGTCATATAACCAGACATTGCAAACATTCGCGAAGCCGTTCCGATTGTATAACAAACGAAAATAGGATTTTTCAACAACCGTTTTGTTCGCTTCCAAATGCCTTTTATTATATATTATTTTAAAATGTTTAGAAATGTATTGAATTTTTGTTAATAAGTATATGATTAACACTTACTTAATGTTGATTTTTGTGGTTTCGTTGGTTTCATAAGTTGTTTACTACCATTAAGTTTGGATATTTCGTATCGTTTAAAACTTCTCGGAAAGAAAAGCATAGGAATTGAAAATAGTAGTGTTGAGGTGCCAATCACTAGAAAGCCAATCCACCATGCTCCTATCCAACGCGGGTCTTTGCGCTCAATTCCCGGATCGACTGAATTTATAAAACAAATACAATCACTATATCTATCATTTGTTGTGGCGATTAATACTTACGAAATGGGTTTTCATAGTATGTTAAGACATATGACGAGAGAATAAAACCAGAGGTCGGACCACAAAGACGGAGTCCACTCACAAGACCTGTAATTATGGTTAAAATGTTAAATTATATACTTCACAGATATTTATAAAATAAATTTATTTTACTAAATGACAAAAAATATTAAATCATTTCTTGCATATTGTAAATATTTGCCCTGCTAAAGCGGAGCAAATACTTATAGATATTATATTATGCGTAACTGGTTATGATTACTGCTCTACTACTGCATATGTATAGTAAAATGGTTGTCAACTGACCGATATATACGGGAGAATTCTTCTTGTCGACCGAGTCGTCGATAAATGGGATCCCAATGGCAACGAATGTCGCGAAACCGAGACCATTGAAAAAACTTGCTATACATAGGATTACTACGGCTAGTATTACAGTCTCTGATCCACCACTTTCCCCGCACATATCGTTATCGAAATTGTTTTGATCGCAAAATTCTGTGCTTTTATTATATTTCATGAGATGTCCGACTATTTCCTTATTACTACCGCTCAACAGATGAACTCCCGGTCCGTATATAAAGTATGGCAGAGCCGCTAAATAACAACCAAATGCAATAATAATATGACAAATGGCTATCATTCGTGGCCTATGGGCACGATTTCCCACATAACCAAATATTGGACTTAATATGAGTTCGGCTACATTATCGGCGATGAGTATAATCCCTGATATAGTACTGCCAAAAGCGTACCTCTTTTCCAAAGTGGTAATACTAGCGATCATATATGTAAACGAAGCCCCCTGTGAAATGGCCAAACCACCCAATATAACCATAAACACATTCGTTGAGCCAAATATTTGAAGCCATTTGGGTCTCCAGGAGCCCAACCCACACATGTGGTCCGTCGACTCGGACTCAACACTTTTATTATTAGTCATTTTGGATAAAACTATTTATTTACACTTTAATATAAAACGATTTTCCAAAAGATTTAGATTGAATTTTATAATACATTTATTACAGTTATAAATAGTATTTGCAAATCTATAATAAAATATTGATTTTTAAATATACTTTGAATATCACGACAATTATAACACTTAATACAGTTGTGAATCGTAATTGTAAAATAAAATACTTATTAAATCATTTTTATTATAAGTTTGTATTTTGCTGTTATTATAGAGGTCTGCAGTTTTACATATGAATATAAAATGCCAAATTATAAACACAGAATTCAAAGAATTCTAAGTCATATACGGCTTCATCAGAATTAAGATTAATTTATTGTTTGCAAACTGTGTTATGGTATTCCAATTTAACCTTGATATAAATATTAACCATATACCGTATACACTTTTGTATAAGAAAATATGATTTGTAGAGATTATTTAATAGTGAGTATTAATGAAAGTGTGTGATTATCTTGATGTTTCCTAATCAATTGATTAAATTTATTTATATTAAATAATAACAGATGTAATTTACAATTGGATAATGAATGTACTACAGTTTATCATTGATTTGACCTTCATGTGCAATATAATAATAACAGGCAATTATTTTTAACAAATAAAAAAATGTAAATTTTCCCAAATAAAATTATTAAATATTGACATTAAAATTGATTTTCTTATTACCGGTATAAAGTTTTATATTATTCTATTATTATATCAATATTACTCTGATAGAATAATATTATACATAATGGCAATTTCATCACAACTTCATCTCAAAGATTTAATAAAAATTTGATAAAAGTAACTTTATACCTGTCTGTTGTGGCAGAATTAATTTTTTTTTCATGGTAACATGTAGTAAAAATGCCTTGAAAATATTGTAAAGCATTATTTATATTAAGCATAATTATAATTATTTAAACTACTTTCAGCTAAATTGTATTTAATTTTACTTAATTAACAATTATTTGTCAACAGTTCTTGATTGACAAGACTTTGCATTTTTTGTTCATCGATCTCATCGTTGTATAGATTTTTAATTCTCTTCGACAGGAATATAACGATTACATCGAAAATAATTCCAATAAAATAGAGACCGAGAGTTAGTCCGTGAAGATTACGCCTGAAATTGTATGTGTCGTATACCCAACAGTTCCCTCTGTGGCCACACTTCGACTCCCATATAAGACACGAGCCGTCGACCACTGCTCCGTATACCAGAGGGTATGGTATGAATGCTAATAACATGAATAATATTTGAATTAAATTCTATAAACTAATTAAAGTAAAACAATAAATACCAAAAAGACACATAAAAGTTCTCATTAATCCGACGGCAAAACTTTTATCTTCTTCGTCTATTATTCTGCAAACATTTAATTATTAATCAAAATAATATTTGTATATTAATATAAATAATATTAATATAAATAATAATATCAAACCGATATGAAACGATGTCATTTCCAGTTTTTGCTAAACTTCCGATTATATTACTTATTCCCAAAAGTAATACATAAATGTGGAGATTATTCCCGCAATCTGTAGCACAATAGCCTTCATTTGCCGAACCATCAAAACAATCACAATTGGAGTATTGCTATTTTAAAATAAAATGTTTGTTATTTATTAACACTTCAAGTTGTTATTTGATTTTTACCTTATTTGTCGTGTTAGTTATTTCAATGATAGATTGAGTCTTACAGCCGGCAAAACATGGAGAGAAGTAATTGGTTTTGTTGTCCGGACCACAAATCGGCTGGAATTTGGTTTCCGAACAAAAACAGTTGTCGTTACACATCGACTGCATCTCAAAACTATACAAACATTTTTACAATTAATTTGTTGTCGTGTATTATTGGACTTACTGTGTGTCCATTGAATTGCCATCAAATTGAGATTCAGGACATCCGAGAAAAAGGGCGGATAAGAAACCCATCAATACAACGGTTTCAACAATTGTAATGAAAGAAGTGAGAAATCGGGGACCGGGAAGACATTTACGGATGAATAGACCGCCCAATAATATACCCGCTGCCGTTGGGATTACACCTAATATTCCTGTTAGATATTCATTGGTTTAAATATTATACTGTAAATATATATTATATATCTTTGAATATATTACCAGAAAATAAATTAGCGGTAGAGGCGGATGTCTTATACATGGATTCAATGTATTTCGCTTTGAAAGCCATATATCCGTGGACTGCAAACACTCGGGAAGTGATACCCAAAGTATAACAAA